CTTCACAACTTTTAGGGCTACATCAGCAATTTGAGTTTGGGAGCATTGTCGTGCTCCGAAATCGGTCGGTCCGTTTCACACCAAGTATGCCGAGCTCCATTGCTCTTTGTTAACCCCGAGATTGGATTTTGGATCTTTGTAAGTAACCAAGTCTGCGGGCTATAAGTTAGTATGGGAAGGATGCACATATCCATCAGCTTCTTCTTGAGAGACTTTGGAAGAGTACCCCTCAGAAGATCTTTCATGGACCTATAGTTCCTCCAGGCATTTTCAGTGCGTCTAGCAATCTCTTGTTGTTTACTTGCATTGGAAATAGAATAAATAATCATCATTCATTATCTAACACAAAAATAAACAAAGAAAAAACGGATATAATAAAAAAAATTTCACCACACCATATACGTTGTTCTGATTCCAAAGTAAGTAATTAAAGCACATAGGTGCTATTGAAATAGGTAACAACGACGCCGACTACGGTACCACAAAGACCCGAGACAATATAGAAAAGTTAGTTTTCTACAGTGATCCGGAACCTTAGAGATGGCGATACCAGATCACGGATGTTGTCAAAAGAAATTACAATTTTACATACAGGCATTCACATCACGTTTTTTTGCGCCCTTGCAAATGTCTTGATCGAGCGAGCGCAATTAAGCACGTGGAAATTCAGTTGCTTTTCCATTTCCGTTAGATCTTCATCATCATTAACCCACATACGTTTCACTGTTGGGCACGGGTCTGCTCTGAAAAGAAAGCGATTCTGTTTGACACGGTGACTCATGTCGCATGACTGCGACATGCACGCGATGGTCGTCGCGACGTTGTCCGACGCGGAAAGTCGTCAATTTGTTGCAAGGGAAGGACTTTGTATTACAGGGAAATACGCGATTGTTACATATACGAAATGAAACTATTTTCTCCGGATTTAAATAGTACATATTTGTTTTTCACACGAACCAACGTTTCGGGCCCTTTACAGGTCCCGTAGTCACGGTTGACTGAGGTGGTAAAGTCGTCCACCAGTTATGTTTAATATACATATAATAACCACATATGGCAAACCACTCACTTTTTCACCATAGTTACAAAAGTTATTAATTAAATACCTTATTTTTTAATTTTTCAAAGAACATTCGTATTTACGCTACACGTGTTTTACGAATGATTTTATTATAGCAACATGAATTTTAAGAATAAATTAAAAACATATTAATTAGTGTTGCAGTCTTATATCTGTTCGGGATTTTTCATCAGAGGCAATACTGGATCCCTAGCTTGACTGCGAGTGCGGTCTCTCTTATATTGGACAAACGAAGCGAAGTATTTTGGTTGGCGTTAACGTTAGCGTTCTCGATCAGTATTAACCAACAACATACATCGATAATTCAGTTACAGAATTTAAATATCTAATCTTTCTATTCTATTGTTCTTAGTTTATTTTCTTTACGTGTCGAAGTTTCTGTTTTTACTTTAGCAAACTTGGCAATATTTTGACCCACTTCACACGCAGTTGCAACTTTGCAAGTCAATAAAGTTAAAGGTCTTGACGATAGCCTCTTCGGAACGTGGATTTGCAATCAATTAACATGGAACGAAGCGGTTGGGCTTCAGAATTAAACGCAATGTACATTATTGTACGTGTTTTGAGTTCTTAATTGGTTTTCAAAACTAGAGAACACTTATCAATCACGACACACAACATAAAGCTATCCAAACGGGACGCGGTCCGCGTTTTCTGCCTTTAACTAGACGGGCTATTATTAATACTATTTATTTTATTTTCCTACAAACTATAATAAGTATATCTTATTATTGTATATTATTTATTAATTCATTTGTTAATGAGGAGCAAATTTATTTAAAACACTTCCATTAGAAGATATTCTTTAGTTGCACCACCCTTTCCAGCTCTTAAATTTCTGTACTGAAGTTGCCTGGAAAAAATTGCCACTTAGCAATAATGTCACCTGTTTGACATTAGCTTACTCTGTGATAGTTACATTACTGTTCTGTGTTGTTATTGTAATTTTAATGTACAATAAAGAATATTTCATTTATTCCTTCAAAGTAGAACAATTCTGTATACTTTATGTTTTCTTCTCTATTAAACATATTTATCGCACTATTTCCTCTATTTAATATCGTGTAATTATATTATTACATAACAAAACAGGAAAATACAAAACAAATATACATTCATGACATGGCAATGCCGTTTCGTACTTTAACACTTAATCATACTATGTGAAATTCTGAATCGAAGATGTAAATTTCGATGGATGTAATTTACAACTTTTACCCTTCAATATTGTTAATTACTTTGTGTTAATAATTATAATAGACTAGTGGA